GGCTGTTCAACTCTCATTTTGATCTTCTCTTTCTTAACAAGCAAAATGATCTTTGAAGAAAACACAGGAAACTGTTAGCTAATAGAAAAGTGATAACCTAGACAAGTAAAGAGATTATAAGATAGAACTTAGTTAACATGGATTAGTTCATACCACCAGGTCCATTTGTCTATTACCCTAGGATACTAAGAATAGAGATTTAAAGGATGACTAAGTAACTTTAACCAATATTTTGAAGATTTTGAAGTGTACCATGTATACCACAGGATGGGATTAAGTATATTTGCCCTTCATCTTTTCAAAACAAAGGAAAGAGATTTGAATGTAGGAATTATGAGCCAATGAGCTTAAATTTTTTACTCAACAGAATTCTAAAAATTATTTACTTGACATAATATTTAACACTATTGACCATTATCTATTAAAACAGATTTAATCTGTGTTCTTGGAAATTGTAAAATTGTTGATTTAAGTGAATTGATTATAGAAACCCACTCGACAACACCATTTTCCCACACATTTAAAAGCCTTACAATTTTCAGCCTGGTTAGAATCCATTCATTGAAACTATATAAACCAAAGAATTTCATTAAATTTGCAAGAGCAATTGGCTGACATTAGGGAAGAAACAAATTTACTAGTAAATTAGACTGAAAATTAACATCGTTTTTTAAATTGAAGCTAATGATGAATTTCTTCCATTTAGATTTGAAGTATCTTTTTCAATCATAAAAACCATTGAAATGAATACATAAAGAAATCCATATTAGAATCAGACCTACAATCCATGTTGTCACAAGGTTTTACATGAATATTACAGAAAATAATAGTGTATAGTCACTTATTGTTACCACTAAAATGTTATTTTAAGACTAAAATTTTGTTGAAAGCAAAAATGATTTTTATCATTAATAAATGCTTATCCACTGATTTTCATTCATTTTACATTTCTAATTTTAGGGAAATTTTACAATTTTTATAGTAATTTGTATACTAGAATATGTATATGACATCAATAAAATATGCATTGCATAGCATTAACTGCTTGTGTTCATGATAAAAACTTTGGAGATCTGTTTTAGAGACAGTGTCTAGAGAAGGACTTCAGAATTTAGCACCAGAAAACACCTTCAAAATATTCGTTTCATCCCCCTTATTATACATAGATGAAAATTTAGATTAAAAAGAAAATTTACTAGGGATTTGAAAAGGTAAAATTTTATTTAGATGTTGAAGGATGGATTAGAATAGGAAATCTTCCCCATTAACTTTGAAATCATATTCTAAATTATATTTCAATGTATGAAGCATGTTCTGTATTCATATCACAGATTTAAGACAAGTAATGGTAAGTGATTTTCTTTTTCCAAAAATTACAACCTAGTTGAAGAAATAGGACGTTGATGTTGATAATGATGATGATGAACCCCCAGATTTAATTATTTCTTCAAATTTTACATGCATACACACACATGAACATACATATATTCCACACATTGTAAATGTGTATATAATACAGAAATAATATATTTATAAGTAATTGTTCATTTGTTTCAATATTGACTGACTCTTTGTGACCCTCATTTGAGGTTTTCTTAACAAAGATACTGAAAAGGTTTGCCATTTCCTTCTCTAATTCCTTTTAAAGATGAGGAACTAAAGCAAACAGAGTTAAGTGACTTGCCAAATAGCTATTGAATTTATATATATTCATGATTATAATTATACATACACATATACATATACATATATACATATATGCGTATGATTATTAGCTACCTCAAGAAGAATAATAGGCTATATTTGAGCATAAGGAAGAGAAAACAAAGAAGAATGGACAGGTAAGTAACATTAAAAACCAATTGTGCAGTGCCCAAATCAAGGGTTCTTGAGATTCAAAGAAAGCAAAATTTGTTCTTTTTCAGCCAAAGACAAGGTTTATTAGAACACTGTCATATTGGGCAGACTGTTAAGGAGTCTGAACATGGGTAAGCAGTGGATAAATTATAAGAATCCTCATGGCCAAGGGAGAATGGAGCCTAACTAGGACTAAGAGCCTGAAATGACCAAGGGCCATAAGGAGGTAAGACAATGGAGGGGAGATTGGGTGTAGCCACAATGAAAAGCCAGTTGATGGGATCATAGCCTCAGGTTAATGCCAGAGATTTGGCCATCTGCAAAAGTCCAGGTCACTTCCATTCTGGGCCCCAGATCCCAACTCCATCATTCCCCCCTCAAACAAATAAGACCCAAATTCTTTTGGAGTAAGGGGTGAAGGTCTCAGCTTCTGAAACTGCTTCCTGCTGGCAAGGGGCATAGATCTGTCTCTGCCTTGGAAGGGTCCCAAAGAGGTTGACTGGAACCGAGCACAGGCTGCCTCCAGAGAATGATGTGGGGACATTGGCTGGTATTCACTGTTTGCTACCAACTGTAGGTGAATGGCCTATAGTCTGGAAGACATAAATCTGACAGAAAAAATTGCAGGGCCCAGATATAAAGCAGGGACTAGATTTAGGGCCAACCTTTGAGAGGATCAAACATCCTGTTTGGATTCAGATAATTCAGTTTTCCAACCATGCAGTATTAAATCCACTTCATAGCCAGTTTCAAGAATAGCCAGGTGGTAACATTCCCTTTCAAAGGAACATAATGGGGAAACTGAGCCAGGAGGATCCCATCTTAGACTGAAGCTAAAATTGTCCTCTCAGCTTTTCCCCATGCTGACTTCCCACCAGTATCACCTTCTCTGAGTAACTTGTGACATTTTTCTCTGATGGTGGATTATTGATTATCGATGGATTATGACCCATCAGACAACTCAAAATAAAATTCTACGAGCTTTTACCTCAAACAGCAAGTTTTACTAATCACAGCTTAGGAAAAACTTTTCCAGGATTTACAACTCAAACTTAAATTTGAAGACAATCATTAGAGATTTCTATACACTTGCAAATTCTCAGCAAGTCATACATAACCCAAACAAACTTTTTGGCTGGTTTACACATTAAAACAATAATCAACAATAGTCAAATTATTTTAGCAGTAACCAAATTATGAAAAGTTGCTTGACATAACTGATACAGAAAGTTCACCAATTTGAAAATTGAAACTAACCCCTTACCAATCAGGTGACTTCAGTTTTGTTAAATGCACTTCCAAATTACTTTACACAGAGAATACACATTTCATCATTAAAAGTTAAAATTAAAACTTTAAGAAGAGCATGCTTACTCAGGTTCAGAGTCCAACTTCTTTACCTTGACCAGGATGTGCTGAACCTGAGTGATGTTTCCAGGCAAAGGTTGCCCTAGGGCCCTAGGCCATTGCCAGGGGGGCCCACACTGTAGCTGCTGCCCCTCCCCCCTCCTTCCTTTCCCAGGTGGGACAGGGCAAAATCAAAGGTGAGGGGTAAAGGGTGAAACTCTCTTCTCCTATGAGAGGGGTTAACAGATATCCTCTTGACTCAAGGGAAGGAAGTGAACAGGTTGTACAGGTGTTTCAAAACTCCTTAATGATCAATCACAAAACCTCCAGAATCTGCCAAGATATTTGTAGCTGTTCTAATTTTCCATGTAACCCCCATGAAGGAGGATTCAGAGGTGGAGAGGGAAGGGAGTAAGTGAGCCTTAGAGAACCAAAAAGCAACTGCAGGTTTCCCCAATTCCCTGGTCCCAAGGGAATTAACAGAATTGACCATGCACTTCCAGGTAGGGCATCCATCATTGTCCTCTATGCTGTGGAAGGTGTACCCAGGTCCTTGGCCTCAAACTGACCCAGTGGACCAAGAGCCCGAGAGTGTCAGACCAAGTGAAAGACAGGATCATAACTGTCTGCCTGAAAAGCACCTCCAAGCCTTGGTGCTTGGAGAGTGACCCCAACTGCAGAGCAAGAAAGGAGGGGAAGGGAGAGGCTTACATACCTTCCAGTCTTGGCTGGAGAAGAACTTGGGGTTAGGCAGTTTCCCTATATGGGCCACCAAAACAATGTAATTTAAGGGTTCAGGGGTACTGGGGCCCCAAAATCACAACATGCAGGTCCTGCCTGAAAGAATTTGACCCAAGCCTTCTTTCAGCCAAAGACAATGTTTATTAGAACATTGTCATATTGGGCAGACTCTTAAGAAGTCTGAACATGAGTGAGCAGTGGCTAGATTATAAGAATTCCAGCAGTGGCTAGATAATAAGAATCTAAGCCCAAAATTTATTCTTTTCTAGAACTGGAAAGGCTAAATCAGAAGATGAGGCATCAAAACTGATTTGGAAAGTGGAGAAACGCAAGAATTTTGCTAAGCAGCAAGGATTGAGAAAAGCATAATAAGGAGAGAATATTGTAGAAGCAAAGTGTGACAGGATAGTGAAACACAGTCTCATATAGCCAATGTAGTTTAGGAGTAGCAATTATGTCTGTTTTCCACATCAAATTCTGTACAGAACTAATGTCTCATATTAAAATTAATTTATCGATTGGAAATATAAACATTTTATTAAGAATGTTATTCTTATTTATATGAATTAGAATCATTTCAAATATATTTTAATTTTATTTCAGTATTTGTATTTAAATCTACATTTTCTAGAAACCTAGAATAATGGGATTTTGAGATGACAGTGCATAGCAGAAAACATAGAATGTTAGCAATTGAATAGTAGATATCATAGACAGATATTGGATAGTATCATATATGCAAAATGTTCTAATTGGAAGAGAACCTGAAACATAGTGGGTATGATGCCAAACTTTGATCTATCTTAAAATGTAGACCATAATAAACGATCTATAAAGAGCCTTACACAATGGAATAAATAATAGCCGAGATAAAAATTACCTTAATTCATATTTTGAAATAGGGAAGAGATGAAAGCTTAGCATGTGAGATTTGAAAGATAATTTATAGATCATTCAATCTTTTAAATCTTTATTTTACAGAGAAAAGAAACAGAGGACCAAGTAAGAAGTAATTTATCTGTCCTCTAGTCAATATTTCCATATAACAGTTAAAAATGTTAGGAAGAAATCTCACAATTGTGGTGGAATTTATTCTTCTGGGATTTTCTGACCTACCCAAACTTCAAGATGTTCTATTTGGAATTTTCTTGATCATGTACATGAGTATTCTGTTAGGGAATGGTCTCATCATCCTAATAACCAAGATTGATCCAAGTCTTCAAACACCCATATATTTTTTCCTTGGAAATTTTTCCTTCTTGGAAATACGCTACACATCAGTTACTCTCCCAAGAATGATGATGGATCTTTGGACAAAGAAAAGAAATATTTCTTTCTTGGACTGTGCTCTACAACTTTGCTTCCTACTTATGCTAGGAGGTACTGAGTGTTTGCTTCTGGCTGTGATGGTGTATGACCACTGTGTGGCCATTTGTAAGCCTCTCTATTACTCTCTAATTATGAACTACAAAGTGTGCATTCAATTGGTCATTGGCTCTTGGATCAGTGCAATGACAATTATGATAGGGCAGACATACCAGATTTTCTCTCTGCCCTTCTGTGGATCTAATAAACTTAATCATCTTTTCTGTGATATACCCCCATTACTGAAGCTAGCCTGTGGTAACAAACTTACGAATGAGTTATCAATCTATATTGATACTGTGGTGTTTGCTATAGTTCCATTTCTTTTTATCCTTGGGTCCTATATCAAAATCATAACTACTATTCTGGAGATGCCCTCAGTCACTGGGAGATATAAAGCCTTTTCCTCTTGCTCTTCCCACCTCATAGTTGTAGTGTTATTCTTTTTTTCTGCTATCATTACATATTCAATACCCAAGTCCAATAGTTTGTCAAGTATGGACAAAGTACTCTCTCTTTTCTACACTATTGTGACACCAATGCTTAACCCCATGACATATAGTTTAAGGAACAAGGATGTAATTGCTGCCCTAAAGAATTTATTACCTAAATGGCTTGTATTATGAATCTTATATGTAAATTTATAGATTCGGCTTTCTTCTTTTCTTCATTTATCTCAAAATTCTTATGTTTTTCCTTTCCTTATCCTTTCTCTGGTCTTTATTTGAAAACTTTATTATTCATTTCATATACTCACAAATTACCAAAAAAAAAACATACACAAATTTTTCAAATTTTCAACTTCTTTTCAGTAGTACTTATGAGGCAAGAAAAGAAAAGAATCCACCATTAATCACTACCAAAGTATTATCAGAACCATCTTCCATCTTGAAGTGAATAAGAAAACTGATTCAATTATCTGAATGTATAATAAGAAAATGCTCTGTAGTCAGTGTAAACAAAATGGGCCCAACTCAAAAATCCAATTAGCATACTAGAGAAGTACATTAAAGTTCCTTATAATAATTATAAAGTTTTGTAGAGAGTATGAATGATTGTCATAGATGAACAGACTTAAAATACTCACATGTATATATGTGTGTGTAAACATGTGTAGGTCATAAAGGATAAAATGCTAGGCTTAGAATGAGGAAAATTAATCTCCATTCCTGTCTCAGGCATATACTAGTGTGTTAAACTGGGCAAGTCACTTAACCTCTTTTAGCCTCTGTTTCTTATCTGTAAAATGAGAATTCTAAAAACATATACTTTGTGGGGTTTTGTGAGGATAAAATGACTTAATATGTAAAACATTTTGATAATTTTAAAGTACTAGAAGACAGAGGTGAGGCTTTGGAGTGAAGAAGGACTAGTTTCAAGTCATAATGCTCATGTAAAATGTTTTTTTGACAATAGGCAAACCAGTTAACCTGTCAGTAATATAGATAACTTCAAAATTTTTTATTTGTGAACCACCTTTTGTAGAGGGATGTTTCTTATATAAGAGGTCATATTATCAGTAAAACAACAGATCAAATCATTATTCATATACAGAAATAGTATCATTGAAACTAAGAAAAAAACAAAACTGATGCAAAATGAGATTTTCCAATGCCTGAGAGTTTTTAGAAACGTGAGTGCTGTTGTTAGAGATGTGCATTAGTAAAGTCATTCTGGAAATCAATCTGTATGTTTATATTAATTAAAATGCCTACATCCTTTGGCATAGATATGAAATTTCTCAGTTATTATCTCAAGTAGGTTAAAGAAAGATTCCCCACATTACAAAAGATTAATAGCTAGATATGTGGAGTACTTTAAGGTTTTTACTGTAAGTCCTTTCTAGATAATATCACATTTATTCCTCACATTAACCCTCTGAGTGAGGTTACATTATTATATTATATTTCAACTTTATAGGTATAGTAACTGTGGCTGCGAGATTTTGCATACACATTTACATTCACAAATACACACATATTCACACATATGTGTGTATACATATATGGTTAACTAAGTGGCATAGTAGACAGAGTGCAGGGCCTGGAGTCAGGAAGACTCATCTTCCTGAGTCCAGTTCTGACCACAGACACTTACTTGCTGTGTGACCTTGGGCAAGTCATTTCACCCTGTTTGCCTTAGTTTCCTCATATGTGAAATGAGCTGGGAACTCAGACATGACTGCAAAATGACTGAAAAAATAAATGTTATGAATATACATATATATATACACATATATACATGCACATGTATATGTACATGGTAATTACATATATAAATGTAATTATACACTGTGAGAAGGAGAAGAAGAAAAAGAGGAAGAAAAGCAGTAACAACAACAAAGAGTAGAGGCAGGCTTGAACAGGGTGTGGAGGATATAGAAATCACTCCCAAATCAAGAAGATCTGAATTCATGTTCAGCCTCTGCCACAAACAGGCTGTGTGAGTGAGAAGTCATTTAAGCTCTTAGTACCCTATGCAGCACTCTGAGACTTTAAGTTGCAAAGAAATTGCTAATATTTAAATGCCAAAATAGAAGCTAGATAGATAGATTATAGATCTGCCTATACAATCTAGCTAGGTAGATGGAATAACTGAAACCAATCTATAATTGCAATATTCTATATATTTGGATGCACTCATATAATTTATATCCATTATACCTACCTTTCAATTATATATATATATATATATATATATATGTGTGTGTGTGTGTGTGTATATATACATATATATTTCAATAATATATATACATATATGCTTATGCATATATGGAATATGCATAATAAACACACATATATAATGTGCATATATTTGATATGATTTGAGTCTAGAATCTACAATTGTCACATTGACTTCACCACAGTTCTGGAAACAAACGATTAACCTGCTACATCTAAGTAGCTACATGCACCCCACTGTTTCTACTTCTCTGGAATGTCTGTATACTAGACAATAGTGACCTCTTTACAGGGTGTTAGGCTGTTTGTCCCTGAGAACCATGTACAGGAGATGAAACACCTGAGCTAGAGTCTCAGAGCCTGATTCCTTGTACAAACAGAAGAGGTTACTGATGACTTCAACATCTGCCTCATCATCCATTGATCTTAATGTCTTCTGAGAAATCACCTTAACCATCAGGTCAGGAGAAGTACTTTTGGAGCTTCTGCCTGGTACCAGGTACTCAACTTTGTCCTGAATGTGTGCCATCCCTAGGTTTTGTTGGCCCTTTTCTCATTAATCCTAATCTCATTCAAACTATAGGCCCTCGGGAAAAGAAAATTGAATTCCTCCACAATAGGTGGACTGCTAATTATTTTGGGGGAGCTCTTTCCTAGAACTAGAGGTTTGGGATATGATCTTCTGGTTGTTTTTGCTTACCTTGGGGTGAAAGAGAAATGTGAAGAATTGGGTGGATTTATAGGAGTGTAGGAGTAGTTCCAAAAGTCAAAATAGTGATTTCTCATGAAGATCTTTGAAAATGATTTTCTAACTCTCAATTAAACCACCCATGTTCTTCTGAACTGATACCTTAATGATCCTATGAAAAAAGAAATGAGATTATTCTGAAATGATCTGTGTGGTAATCATTCAACAAAAATATTGATAACTTCTATCATCAAAACAGAAAATTCCCAACAGAATCCCTATATAAATGATGTGATTCTGAGGCTTCAGTACTCTAAATTTCTCCATATGCTTAATTAGTTGCTGAGTTGAATAAAGAAAAAAATTGAATCCAATAATTATATTTGTGTGTACAGTATATGAAACTACTAACAATAAATTGGCATATGGAAGGATGGCTTGCAACACAAAAAACTAATTATCAAATCTCAAGAATCATCAAATTAATATATACATATATAATATATATTTATATATAAAGAGCCTATTATTAATTTGTTAGTTAAGGGCCTATGATGAACTTGGAATTTTGTAACATCCAGCAATAATTCAGACTTTTCACATTCATAGAACTGATCATTTGAGTTAGGGAAATAAGACTTGCACACATAAAATAATAACACTAGTTCAGTATTACTTACATTTAAACCTCTGATCCAATGGTGCTTCTGGATCACTGGTGTGAAAAATCTCTGGGAAGAGAGATTTAACTTGTGCTTTCACTTCAATGGTGAGATCCTAAGGAAAGGAACTCTCATTACCTCAGTAAATTAAAACTATCTCTGTATCTTGCAGTCTTAGAGAATTTTTGAGAGCATGCAGAGGTTAAAAGACTTGTCCAGAGTCACTCAGCTACATGTCAGAGACTCGATTTTCACCCAGCTTTTTGTATATTTAGACATGAACTTTAATGAGCAGTTTCTATGGAAAATTGCTTTATTCAGTGAATGCTGCAGATGTGAAAAGGACAAGAGTCATAGTCAACATTTTTTTTAAGATAAGTACTCTATTACTTCTCTAAAATACATTGTTCTTTCTCTCTTCTCTCTTCACATTTTGTGTCACTAAAACCAAACTGAAATATGTAACAGTTTTATTCATGTAAACCTGGGATACATGAAGAGACTTCTTGTAGGCCCTTAATTATATTGTCAACCTCCCTCAATGCTGTTGATGAAAAGAAGCTTCACAGTTGCTATGAAGTGGCTATTACAGACATCATGTTAAAATTGGAGGAAAAAATACATTCAAGATTTCAATTCAAATCAATAAATTTTAAGTAGCCACTTGCAAATTTTAAAGCACTGTGCTCAGTTCTGGAAATACACAAAAAAACAAAGAGGTCCTACCCTTCAATAGCTGTCATTCAACTGGGGGGGGGAGTTTGGACTTGGAATAACAATACTAAATTTTATCTCCAATTCTAAATCATAAATTCTGAGATTTTGATTTGTCAACTTCTAACAACTGAGCATGTATGCCAATTAGCATCCCATTACATTGGATATAGTTGCTGGCTATCTACTTCTAGATTTTTTTTTACTTTAATTCAATTAAAATTTGTCACCAATTTTGATTTTGAACATTCTTGGGTTTTTCTACTCTTCTCAAAGAGGTCACTGTATGAATCAGTCTTACTACTTCCCACCTCCTCTCTTTCTTTCATAGTAGGGGACATATATTTTTATGTTCTCTCAAATAACAAATCTTCCTAATTTCTTAATACTCATGATTTATTCCATGTTCAAGCTCAGCTAGGTCAGACCTTTGATCTTTCTATTGCTACAAGTGTTCAAAAAACTGAATTGACCAGAAGTGTTCAAGAAATCTGAAATTACTTAACCTGTGTATGTTTTATTTTTCCATCTCTCAATGTGCCTCAGTCCCAAATATGTGTTTTCAATGTGACCATTTGTGTCTCAGTATTATGTGAATGTAATACTCCTTTTCTGACTACTCTTCCTCTCTTCCCAATCTTAACCCTTCAGTAAACTATTTCACTCTTCCCAATCTCATCCCTTCAGTAAACTATTTCAACTCTAAAACATAAGGTACTCTTTCCTCCTTTGCCTTCTCAGACTATTACAAATCATACTTAATTAGAAACTCCAATCCTGATATCCTACTATCATCTGACAATTCCCTTTCTGTTTTGGAGATGTAGTTCTCCTGAAGTTACCTTCCATTTACTCACTATATATCTGGTATATATAGTCAT